TTTTCTGTTCGGATTACGGCCACTGTTAAATTCTTTCCGACAAAAATGCAACACTGAATATAGTGACCACCAGTATGTTCTTACATTATTGTTTTTTTAAGGAAAATGCTCCGTATTTGAATTTAGAAATAAATCTGTATTTTTGTAATCATTGACGACCTCGGTGGTCTAGCGGTCAAGCATACCGCTTTACGACCGATGGTCGCGGGTTTGATAATAAACATTTGTATTCATGAGTATGATTGTTTGTATCAAAATGTATGATATATATATTTACAAAAAATATATATCTATGTATAATAATGTATATGTATCAGTTATCTAGTACCCATAACACAAGCTCTAGCTAGCTTAACTTGGGTCTAGATGGCTCTGTGTGAATTGTTCTGAGATTATTATTATTATTATATACAAACTGATTTGAAAAGAATAATAGCTGAGTTTTTGTCAGTTCTTCGTGGTTAAAGGCACTCCGAACTTTCCGAAGAGTCTTTAATAACCTAAGGCAATTTACACAGCGCCATCCAGTACTAAGCTAAGCAGAGCTTGTGTTATGGGTACTAGATTTTTAATAATATATTTTAGTTGTTATATTATATTTTTTAAGCTTTTTAACTTTAGGTTCTTCGTTGTACAATTAATTAGAAGATATTTTTTAAATACATTCATAATATACATCGTTATTATGGATTTCTCAGTTGGTTATTATGGAGATTGTAATAAAACTAGGTAATTATGGAAAAATGAAAATTAATTGTGAAAAGATTAGTTACAATGAAAAAACAAAACAGCAACAAAGAACATTTAATAGTATATGGCTATAAAAAGTATTAACAAGGAGGTTTCATTTTCAACATACATAGAGAAATATTCGGTAAACAATCATACTCATAAATAAATGTGTTTTTATCGTGAGAGGAATCGAGCCCGCGGCAATTGGAGGTAAGACGGTGGTATACCGCTAAACTACCGAGGCCCAATAAGGAAACATACGCAGTGATAATTATTGAATGGAATATAACAACTACTATTGTAACAATGCTATATCCAATTAATTCTGTACTTAGAAATATATATATAGTAAATAAATATTTATTGCAATCTAAATACCTAGTAAGAATGTACATTTTCCTTCTAAAATTCCTCTTAGGAATAGACAATACAAACAGACAGTTGAAATAATACTAAAAAATTAATAAGTAACCCTGGACAATTAACACAGTGCCATCTAGTCCTGACTATACTAACTGACTACTATACTAACTGATATACATACTTAGATATTTTATTTGGAAATACATACATAATATATATAGAAAACACTCAGACCAATACAAACAATCATACTCGTGAATACATATGTTTGCACCGTGCAAGGAATCGAACTCGCGACCATTGGAAGTAAATCGGTGTGCTTAACCGCTAGACAACTGGGGGCGGGGAGATGGATGTATTCACAAAAAAATGTATATCTATGTATTTGTATCAGTTATCTAGTACCGATAACACAAGCTTTAGCTATCTTAACTTGGGTCTAGATGGCGGAGTGTGAACTGTCCTGAAATTATTATTATTTATTTCGTCACCACACGGTTAGACCTAGACGGCAGTTAACTAACTGTGACATACTCGAAACTGGTTTATTTTAATCCAGTTCAAAATAGCATTTAACCGTGCCAAATGTATGTACGTTTGTGTGTTGTGTAACCGTGTTAGCTGCTTATAAACAAATGTTACACAAATTCGTTGATTTAAGACTATATTACAACTATTAAACTTATTTTAGGGTAAGGTCCAAGATGCTAACGTGTACACAAAAGCTTTGCCTTCTATCTGTACATATAAATAAAATTGGAGTGTCTGTTTGTAATATTGAAATAACCGTTTTTTACTACATGCATATGAATATACATACGGTACGTACACCAAAATAACATTTTTTACAATTTTTGTCTGTCTGTCTGTCCGTTTGTTCCGGCTAATCTCTGTTCTAGTTGGACCGATTTTGACGAAACTTTTTTTGGCAGATAGCTGATGTAATAAGGAGTAACTTAGGCTACTTTTATTTTCGAAAATTAAAGTTAAATTCCATGCATGTAGCAAAAAACGGTTAATTCAATATCACAAACAGACACTTCAATTTTATTTATATGTATATATAAATATTTAGTTATTTTCGTATACATATAATCTGTTGGGGAAACAAGTGTGAGGTTAGGTCAGTCATACCTAATGATGCTCCGAGGGTTTTTTATGTTCTTCAGCACTACATCAGGGTCCAGGGGTTGTTCTATCACACCCCTAGTTTAACCCTTAATTTATCCATCGTTTCAATTATATTTTCGACAACTTACGTTTGCATTAGCCTTTAGGTTTTTGTAACAGTTATCGTATGAAAAACGGAGGGTATAAAAAAATTAATTACCCACACTTTTGAACATAATCTTTTACTCTATGATTGTGTAAACACGAAGTACTTTCTCCATGTGCGGTCTGCGTGTAATTTTGTTTTAATTTGTTATGATTTTGACAGAAATATCCCTGTTCTAAGTATAGGCCGAATATAATATAAAGCGTCAGTTTTACCGTCGTCAATTGTTTACAAATAGCTTTACTTTCGATGGTCGCGGGTTCGATTCCTCGCTCGGTACCAACTTATGTATTCATGAGTATTGTTTGTATCGGTCTGGGTATTTTCTATGTAATAATGTGTGTATATTGTGTGTGTGTGTCTTATAGTGTCTTATGTGTGCCACCTACCCTATTCTATGTACATAAGTCCTCTCTTCTAGGTTGTCAGTAAGAGATTGCATTTAGCGATAAGACCGCCTTTTGTTATTATTTTACTATTTACTGTATTTTCTCATTATTTTATGTGTACACAATAAAGAGTTTTATTATTATTATTATTATTATATTTACGAAAAATCAATATCTGTGTATTTGAATCAGTTGTCTAAAACTCATAATCCAAGCTTTAGCTAGCTTAACTTGAGTCTAGGTGATGCTGTGTGAATTGTCCTGAGATTATATTATTATTACAATTATTGTTTACAATTATACTCGTATTATTAACCTAAAACAAGTATAAAAAAATACGTAAGTTCATGTCCTTAACCTAACTAATCAATTGTATGTAAGAATAAAAAATCGATTGTTGGGTTGTTTACTCTTATGGTATACTAACTGTGCCTGCGGTTTCGTCCGCGTCATATTACAATATTTATTATAAAAAAAAGCGCAACGGTAAAAGCTATTAATCATTACATAGTACAAAACAAAGTCGCTGTCGTTGTCTGTCCATCCCTATATATGCTTAAATCTTTAAAACTAAATAGCAAAAGGATATTATATATGTCTATTTTAATTAATAGATTACGTGATTCATTTTGGAACATGGAAGGATTATATATATAATGGCACATTTACAAAAATAATACATTAATTTAGAAATGTTTACCATGGGGGGAGGGGGTGCGACGCCGGGGCGGGGGGTAAATAATTGTGATAAATCTGCTTACGTAATACTTGAACAGCCCCTAAAATATATATTATAAACGTGAAAGTTTGTAATTATGGATGTTTGTTACTCTTTCACGCAAAAACTACTGAACGGATTCTGATGAAACTTTACAGTAATATAGCTTATACATCAGAATAACATATACGCTATAAATTTCGCAAAAACAGCGGGCCCATCTAGTATACGTATATACCCAGAAATTAAATAGAAAAAGTGTATTATAGCGCTGCTTGCTAATATTACTTAAATTATTAATTAATTAATTCAAATGACTTACGTACTAATCTTATTGTAATTTTAACAGATATTGTCCTTGATTGTGCATCTGTAGAGTCCGTTCGTAGAAATGAAGCGTAATTTCGGTAATACATTATAGATATGGTTGACATTTTCCTCATCACGCACTCTATAGTAAACAATCTTGGAAACGTAATCTATAGGTACTTAGATATAAGTAAATTGTTTGACCTGTGGCTTAATTATGAAACGCTTTTATTACTAACTGTACTCGCGACTTCGTCCGCGTGGAATTTAACTAAAGTAAAAGAATTTTTCTAAAAGTAGCGTAAGTTACTCCTTTTTACCTGTCAAAATCGGTCCAGCCATTTCAGAGATTAGCCGGAACAAACAGAGAGACAGACAAAAATTGTCACAATTTTATTTTAGTGTACGTACCGTATTAGTATATGGAAATTCTATTTCATGCAGACAACGTCGCGGGCACAGATCGTATACAAACGTGTAGTTTTAAAAGGAAATGTATGTAAGCAAAGCTAGGTCAACTAGGTCTATATTAAACTTGTAAGTGCCGAGTATTGAGTACAAAATGGCAAGTGGACAGTGGACATTACCATCGTACGTGATTCTAACCGGGGTGACCTACTGTTTACCTTGAAATAAGTTCCGCAAAATTGCACTGACCTGCATAGTGTAAGAAATAAACTGTGATATCTATAACTGATTTATTTTGTTACCCAAATTTTATCATTACATAGGATAAAACAAAGTCGCTGTCGCTGTCCGTCCGTCCCTATGTATGCTTAAATCTTTAAAACTACGCAACGGATTTTGAAGCGGTTTTTTTCTAATAGATAGAGTGATTCAAGAGTAAGGTTTATATATATAATACATGTACACCCATGCGAAGCCGGGTCGGTTAGCTAGTTAATATTATAAACGCGAAAGTTTGTGAGTATGGATGGATGTTTGTTACTCTTTCACGCAAAAACTACTGAACGGATTTTGATAAAACATTACAGTAATATAGCTTATACATAAAAATTTGTTATTCTGATGTATAAGCTATATTACTGTAAAGTTTCATCAAAGTAAATAGTATTTAAGGGTATGATTATACATATTTATTTCCAAGCAGTACAACGGTAAATATATCAGTGGAAAATAATGAGTCTATTTTCTACACAAACATAATATTATAATTACAAAATGATGTTTAATTATTATATTTCTTTTTCAGATATCTTCATATTATTATCAGTAAGTACAAAGTCCTCTTAATACCTCAATACCTCGGTGGTTTAGCGGTTGAGCACACCATTTTACTTCCGATAGTCGCAAGTTCGATTCCTCGCACAGTGCAAGTATTTGTATTCATGAGTATGATTGTTTGCATAGTGCACCACCATATACTTATATTATGTACTAGCTGTACTCGCTACTTCGTCCGCGTGGAACTTATCTTTATTTTTGTAATATATATATATTTTTAAAATAAAAGTAGTCTAAGTTACTACTTATTACATCAGCTATCTGCCAAAAAAAGTCCCGCCAAAATAGGTCCAGCCATTACAGAGCTTATAAAAGGTTTAAAAAAAAATAAAAGTAGCCTAAGTTACTACTTATTACATCAGCTACCTGCCAATAAAAGTCCCGTAAAAATCAGTGCAGCCATTTCAGAGCTTAGCCGGAACAAACAGACAGACAAGACAATTTTATTTATATGTAGAGATTATATATTGTACTTTAGAGAAGCGGTAGATTAAAAAACCGACACTATGTGACTGTGACTATTCAAACGTGTTTCAATTAAGTTTATTTCAATGATTCTTCCTATTCTTCATCTTCTTGCTTCACTGATAATATTGATTTCTATTCATAACTTCACCAATTTGCACAGACGCCTCCCTACTAACAACGATGGAGGTGAAATGACGAAACCATTCTCCTTGACGGACTCAGATTGTAAGCCTGCGATCACACTGATGCACTACGCTAGTAAATTTATAGCCTATATGTTATTCTAATGTATAAGCTATGTTACTGTAAAGTTTCCTCAAAATCCGTTCAGTAGTTTTTGCGTGAAACAAACATCCATCCATACCGTAAACTTTCGCGTTTATAATATTAATAAGATTCTAGTTTGGAATGGAATTGTGCACACGTCTGCGCTATCGGTTTATGCTGGCGGAGCACCAGTGGAGGATGATAAGATGAGCATGAGATCAGATCAGTTTGCCCATCGTGACTAATTCACCATTAATTTATCACGACGGTTTCCAGGTGGAACCGCGTGGAGGTCAACCTGACTTTATTAACCCATCTGGTTCATCATCTGCTTCTTCCTTATCCCATTTATTTGTGGTCGGCGTAATATGTTTTCTCTTCCATTCATCTAGAATAGAATAGAATAGAAAATCATTTATTCTAAACTTAATTTAAGCACTTTTGAATCATCAATTTGTTTTTTATCTACCACTCGTTCGGAAAGCTGTCTCATCACAAGAAGAACGAGCAAGAAACTTGTGTGTTGGTCTTTATATCAGTCATCTCGTAATTTACTCCCTTTCTTACCATATCATCTTTCACACAGTCCATCCATCTCTTTTTCGGTCTTCCTCTGCCCCGTCTGGTTATTAGTCCACACTACGAATAATCCTTCCCCAATATACGAAGTTAGACTTAATCAGAGCTAAATTGAGCTAATATAATAATAATATATTAGGACAGATGGCGCAGTGTGAATTGTTCACACTGCGCCATCTAGTCCCAAACTAAGCAAAGCTTGCGTAAGGTACTAGACAACTGATACAAATACATAGAAACATTTTTGTAAATACATACATAATATACATAGAAAATACCCAGATGAATACAAAATGTAAAAATACTGTCCGAGGAATCGAACCCGTGACCATCGGAAGTAAAGAGGCATTGCTAAACTGCTAGACCACCGCGTTCGCCATTTATACGTTGTGAATTGTGAAATATATAATAAGTTGCCATCTCCTCTCCTTAAGAGGAGATATGAGAATTTTTGTAAAGTTTTAAAAATGAAAATAATAAGAACTAGCTCTGAAGTACGGCCTCGCGAATGAGAGGTTGTCGTACTATAAGTACGAGCCCCAGCCGGTCCTCGAAAGCGACAACGTCAGGCTCCACTGGGACCGATCCATCATCACGGACAGGACCGTTCTTGCGAACAAACCAGATATCGTAGTGATGAATCGGGCACTTTCGAGGGTGTTTTTGGTGGACATCACCATACCGCATGATGAGAACCTCGTGAAAGCTGAAACCGAGAAAAAGAGAAAATATCTCGACCTGGCTCACGAGGTGACCGAAATGTGGGGGGTGATGTCGATGTCCACCGAAATCATTCCAATCGTTATGTCGGTGAACGGTCTTATCCCAACCAGTCTGGAACAACATCTCAGACGGTCAGGATTCCGAGGCGGCTCACTCCCGGGAAAGATGCAGAAAGCGGTGCTCTTAGATTCTGCCCGCATTGTGCGCCGGTTTCTCTCCTTGAGACCCTGAACCCCGGCCGACTGTGCTTCTGCCGGGGGTAAGTTGCCATCTCCACTCCTTGAGAGGGGAGATGAGAATTTTCTTTTAAGTTTAAGAAATAATAATAATAATAACATCTATTTCATACTTTGCGTTAGACGTTTTTCATAGAGTGTAGACGCAGCCTTAACCAATTGGCTCGTGGCTTGCATGTTCTAACAAGGTTAAAGTGGTAACAACTAGTTTTCCCACGCGGCCGCAAGCTTTCTACCCAAAAATATAACATCAGTGGAAGAGACGCCGGGCGCACTTGAGACTAGCGTTTTATATAGGACTAGCTATTGAGACGCCGGGGCGCGATTGAGACTAGGGTTATATAAATGACGTAGTGGAGTAACTTGAAACAGTCATGCTAGTTATAAAGTTCAAACTTGTGACGGCGTGATGGGCCGAATCAATGTGCTCCCTCTAATATGGTTGAGTGTAATGACGCCTGGCTCATTCGTCATACTCGTGAACCGGTCTGTCGGTTTTCGGACAGTGATTAAACTATTTTTTCTTTTTAAAAATTGCAATAGCATATGCTGGTGGGCATGTTATTCACCCAAATATAATTTAAAAATGAATCTGTATTTTTGTAAACATGTACAAGCTTATTTGAAACTAATACGAGCTGAGTTCCTTGTCTTGAGTGTTCTTGAGTTTTTTCTCATCTCGAAATCATTCCGAACTGACGGTAGATTTGACATATCATAAGAGTCTGTAATAGATACCTATATGATTAAAGATATTTCGATTTAGAATTTTTATAATACGGACTAGCTGTGAGAGAGACACGCTGCGGTGAACGTAAGACTAGGGGTTTATATAGAACTAGCGTCTTATACTATATTGTATAAGACGCTAGTTTTATATATATATCTATATTATATTGTAATTTTTTTCTATAAATCAATATTTTCTTGTATCTGGTGTAATAAAGTGTATAAATAAATAAATAAATTAATCCTACTCCTAACTAATTAATATACATTCAATTGTAAGAATAAATAGCAGGGGTTTAAATATCTAAATATATATAACTCAAAGGTGACTGACGTAGTGATCTATCAACGCACAGCCCACACCACTGGACGGATCGGGCTGAAATTTGGCATGCAGGTAGATGTTATGACGTAGGCATCTGCTAAGAAAGGATTTTGATTAATTCTACCCCCAAGGGGATAAAATAAGGGATGAAAGTTTGTATAAAACTTTGTCAATATTAAACCAATCGGACTGAGACTTTGTATACATAAAGCTACTATGACGTAGGCATCCCCTAAGAATGGGTTCTTATAAATTCCACCCCTAAGGGGATAAATTAACGCTAGCGAAGCCGCGGGCGAAAGCTAGTATTTATATAAACCCATACTAATTAATTATATTTGGCTCACAATATCAAGAAAACTAAAAAAAACAATAGTATATGTTTCTTTACTATGTTTCTATACACATATAAAATTCAAATTACAACGTCAAAATGAAATGAAATAATAACTACAAAACACAAGAATAAATGTAATAAGAAAGTTCCAATAAAATAAAATTAACACTGTATTTACAAATACTCAGGCCATATCCAGTTTCTTTACATCCGTACAATTAGCGGCACGTGTTTGTAAGTATAAACAATATAGTCATAATAACGTTCCGCTCGCCTTTGTGACAGCTTTCTATAAATTTCAAGTCAATAATACAGTTAATATTTATTAATTTCATTAATATTTATATACATATTATTATATAACTAGTATTTACATAAAATAAGTATCTTCGGAACGTCTATAATATATTTTAGTCAATTATATATATTTTTTTAAGCATTTTAGTCAATAATACAGTTAATTACACTGCATCATTATATTATTATGTTAAGCATGAACTTTGTACCCCTTTCTACGAAAACTGTACGGACGGTGGAGTGTGAAATTATGCACACTTATTGCGACATCGTCGGCGTAGAATTTATCTTTATTTTCTAAAATAAAAGTAGCCTGAGTTACTTCTTATTACATTAGCTATCTGCCAATAAAAGTCTCATCAAAATCGGTCCAGCCATTCCCGAGATTAGCCGGGACAAACAGCAGACAGACAAAAATTGTAAAAATGTTATTTTGGTGTATGTACCTTATTTATATTCATACGCAATTGAGAAGGACTGGGAAGAAACTCAATTGAATTACTTTTTTTTTTATTTTAATTAAAAAAATATTACCATTCTGTGCTCGTTCTTTGTATCTATACATATAAACAAAATTTGAGTGTCTGTTTGTAATATTGAAATAAACGTTTTTTACTACATGCATATGAATATAAATACGGTACATACACCAAAATAACAGGCTAATCTCTGAAATGGCTGGACCGACTGACGGAACTTTTTTGGCAGGTAGCTGATGTAATAAGGTGTAACTTAGGCTACTTTTAGTTTAGAGAAATAAAGTTAAATTACACGCGGACGAAGTCGCGGGAATAGGTAGTTAATTTATAAATTTGATATCGAAGGTCTATTCGGCAATGTTTTAATTATTTTATTTTTAATTCGAAACATTTAATTAAATCATGATTAAATTGATGTATAAATTAACATACTTATTAATAAATCTAAAATTTAAAATTAAACATGTTAATTTCATTCTAAAATCCGAATATAGAAGTATTGCAATGAATTTATTGACATAGATATATTTTATCTATGTAACACTTCCTGCTTCATGCGGTGTTGTTTACTTAGAATATAGCCTGTGTTGGTTGCTGAAATATGATGATGATGATGATGATGATGATGATAATGATGTAATCCCGGCCGATTTCGTCCGCGACTGTCTTCAATTCCGATTTTGCCGTTGATGTGCTCGCATGTGACTTATGTAGCCAATTTTGTATGTAAAAATCCTCGCACATTGCGGGCTCTCATACACCACTCATATAATTATAGCTGATAGCCGCAGGTGGTCGGACTTTCAGCTCGTCGCGCCTGGCACCCAGCTCAAGGAGTTTTCAAAACCTTTGATGCTAGAATTAACGAGCGCTCTCCACTCCGGCCGTCCGGCAGCCTGCTGCTCCCACAGCGAAGGATATTGCTGAAATATATATTGACCATAAATATTGATGTGAAAGAATCCAAAATAGTTTTTTTTTATTTTTGATCTTTACTGTCGCAGCTGGCCTTTACTCCGATAGGAGGCGAGTGCAGATGGCACACCAAACCCGCGGAAGAACTCATGGAGTAGCTGAATGCGAACTCCTGCTTGAAAATAGAAACTTTAAGGAAGGCAGCTTTTAGTAGGTCCTATTATGAAAGGAGTTCGTTCGTCGTCGTTTATATTATTTTTTCTCTTTGTGGCCGAAGTTGAAGGACGTGTATTTCTATAATTTCATTACAATAGAGTTCAAATACTAAAGCAATGAAAAAACAGAGGATTTTCCTCATTTGTGCGAGGGGAAGGGGGTTGTTAGTAATGTGGACTCATGACTCTATTACTAGCAATGTACCATGTAAGGTTGACCTCCACGTTTTCCCCCTGGACACCATCGTGGTAAATTTGTCACGATGGGCTAACTGACCTGACCTCATGCTCATCTTATCATCCTCCACTGGTGCCCCGCCAGCGTAAACCGTTAGCGCAGACGGAAGCACCAATTCATTACCATCCCTTAAAAAAAACTCATTTGTGCAACGGTTATTTCTGTGGTTTATCAGATTTGAATAAAGTATTTACATTACGATTCCAGTCTACCTATCACCTTGGACCGAAGAATCTGGTTTAGAGGGGAAAGGGATTGTTAGTAATGCAGACTCATGACTCCATTACTAGTAATATACCATGTCAGGTTGATCTCCACACGGTTGTCGCTGGAAACGATGTCACGTCACGTCATCACGTCACGATGGGCTAACTGCCCTGACCTCATGTTCATCTTATCATCCTCCACTGGTGTCCCGCCAGCGTAAACCGTTAGCGCAGGCGGGTGCACCATTCCATTATCATCCATAAAAAAAAATTATTCTAGATTTCTCCACGATCCTTGTGGTTGTTTAATTAAGTGCGGAATAACATCTGCTTAGATGAATATACCTTAACAAAAAAAGTATTCATTTTAAATACACTTTACAAAAACAACACTTCACTTGACACTCCGCAAAATCTAATGGATATTTTAAAGTGTATTTAAAATGAATACTTTTTTCAAATTCAAAAATCATTTATTCATGTAGGACATTGTAGCCGCTTATGAACGTCAAGTTTTTACATTATATTTTTGTTTCCTACCTGGGCGGTAGGAAAGGGGTTCGGTATATACATCCAATTGAGAAGAACTGGCAAGAAACTCTTTTTTTTTTTTTAAAGTCAGTTTATTTACAGCGCATGGTTATTTATATAGGTGTCTATGTCTAACATTAAATGAAAATCCCGAACATGAAAACTATTGCCATGCACGCTCGTCATTCAAGTAATCGTTTAGTGAGTAATAGGCTTTGCTTAGTAAATATGATTTAACAGATGTTTTGAATTTATTTAAGGGTAATTCCAATATATCCTTTGGTATCTTATTGTAAATTTTTATACCTATTCCCATAAAAGACCTATTGACATTTTCTAAACGATACTTGTGGACAGCAAGTTTGTCTTTAAATCTAGTATTGATATTATGATATATTTCTACACATTTTAGAACAATTTTATTTTTAGTTATTCGTATTTTAAGAATAAAATTGGAATATAATACGTAATTGTTTGTATGGTTTGATGGATACAACTTTGTTAGCGTGTGTTTCATAATTTTATTTATATCTGAAATAGCTTGTTTGCAAAATATAATTGTAATTTGATCCATTACAGTGGGTTATTTACGAACTCGGGTATAGTATACAGCGAGAAATATTTATTGATATTTACATAATTAGGGTTTGCTAACTTTGTTAATTTACTTGTTATATACCACACTAGGTACATAGCTAGATGAGTAGATGACAATAATATCCCTTAATAATTCATCATCATCATCATCACTACCATCACCATCATCACCATCACCATCATCATCATCATCATCAGCCCGCTGCAGTCCACTGCTGGACATAGGCCTCTCCCAAGGCACGCCACTGGACACGATCTTCAGCCCTTCTCTTCCAGTTTTTACCCGCAACCCTACGTATGTCGTCGCTCCACCTAGCTGCGGGGCGTCCTACACTACGTTTGCCAATTCGCGGTCTCCACTCTAAACACGCCTACTCCAGCGAGCATCGGTTCTGCGACAGATATGACCAGCCCACTGCCACTTCAACTTGCAAATACGGAGAGCTATGTCGGTGACTCTAGTTCTCTGGCGAATTACTTCGTTACGGATTTGATCCCTTAGAGTAACTCCAAGCATAGCCCTTTCCATAGCTCGTTGAGCGACTTTGAGTTGGTGGACCAGTCGTATCGTCAGTGTCCACGTTTCGGCACCGTATGTCATAACAAGTAGGACGTACTGGTTATAATAATTCACACAGCGCCATCTAGTCTTAAGCTAAGCAGAGATTGTCTTATGGGTACTAGACAACTGATAGAAATACTTTTTTTTGGTATATACATACAAAATATATATAGCGTTAATAAGGAGATTATTTGACGTTTTGTTATCAGTCGTGTAATAATGTTAGTGTATATTCATATATATCATTTATTAAATTAATATATTTTTTATGTATAATTAAAAAAGAAAATGTACTCTGCGTTCAATAAATAATATTAATCCACTCTCAATTTGACCACAGACTTTAACAATAAAGAACAGAGTATATATGCGCGTGTGTGTCAGATACATGGTGATGTGTGTAATTTTTTTTTATTGATTTAATATATTTTTATGCATAATTTAAATAAAAATATAAGAATTCTACACATCTCCATATAAACTATAAATATACAATATTTAATACAAGGAGTATTAACTATAATGAATATACATATGTAATGAATGATAGATTACTGTATTTTTTTTTAATTACACCGTATTTGGAGCCGAGTTAATTTATGTAACTGTACGTAATTACATAGTTAAGTTACTTAGTTGCGATGAATTATAACAATCAAGTTACACTGTACCAGTTAATGGTACGTTAACTTGACTAGAAACGTGACGTGTGATACTTAACTGAGAGTGATTAACTGAATTATAATAATAATTTATTTTTCTTGTAGTATTTACATTTTACATTGTTTCCTGGTCACTAAGTTCACCAAGTAGTGACCTGTATTTTAAGTACTAGAATGAAATTCGACATTGAATATTACGTTAATATCAACTGCCTTAAATAATAAAGCTGTTTTTTTAATTTATAATGCTTGAGAAAATATGAAAATAATGTGTTTTCAAATAAGTAATAGTAAATTTCTAATAATAATAATATAATATATGTTTATTAAAAATAATAATATAAAACATGTTTTATTAAATTTTACTGACATTACAAACACAACAGTTTTATATTTATTCTCCCAAATTTGAATTTAAACGAATCTGTATTATTGTAAAAATGTATAACATTTATTTGAAAAGAATACAAGCTGAGTTTCTTTCAGAAACTGCTGAGTTGCCAGTTCTTCTCATCTATAAATCGTTGCGAAGTGACGGTAGATTTGACATATCATAAGAGTCTGTAATAGACCTATGTGAATATAAATATTTTGAATTTGAATTTGATTTGTGAATGATATAATCACTATAATCATAGTGCTTATATGGCTGGAGGTAGTACAGATAAATTTGATACGCAGGTAGATAATAATAATATCTCAGGACAATACACATACAAGTTACAACTAAGCAGAACTTGTGTTATGGGTACTAGACAACTTATATAAATACATAGATTTTTTAATACATACATATTAATACATAGAAAACACCCAGATCAATACAAACAATCGTACTCATGAATACAAATATTTGAATTGTGCGAGGAAATGACCCAGGGATCATCGGAAGTAAATCGGTATGTTTAACCGCTAGACCACCGAGGCCGACAACAACATAGCTAATTTGAGCTGTTTTCACGATCAGTGTCGCGGTATATAAGTAGGTTTATGAGAGTTCTTAATTTGGTTATTAAATTTTTTTTAGATAAAATATAGCCTATATTATGTATGTATATAATATGATCGTCGTTCCCTGTTACATTCTATCTTCACATCAAATTTCATTATAATTTGCTCAGATATAGAATGTATACATGCAAAGGTAGTAAAAATACAGACAGAGACTCTTTCACTGTAATGTATCCTAATGTTAATGTATCTTTAAGGATACAGTTTTTGATCTATCACATTAAAATTAAACATACAATTGAACGGAAAGTTGAATGCATTTACAAGTGCCTATAAAGTAAAGTATAGGTGCTCATAAGTAGGTACTTGAGAAATTCAATATCGCCCGTGTTTCAATACCAATAAGGTTCAAATTACACGTATAGCACTTGAATGCGATCTGTCGGAGAAGAGAGCAGGCCTTGTTACTGACACTTGACACGGTGCGCGTGTCCATTATCGAATACGATATTACAAATCAAATAAAATAAAAAATTATTTATCCATGTAGGACATTTTAGCTGCTTATGAACGTAAAGTTTTTTGTATTCATATTTTTCCCTACCATAATAAGTATCCGGCGCAGTCTGGCTTAGATCTTTCAAATTATGCGACATATTTTAATGTGGTTCAGAAATATTTTTTGTCAAGAGGAAGGTTTATAAAAGAAAGTTTTATATGTAAAGTACATGCATATTAGTTTAGTACTTTAGTACATGAAAGCCGGTAAATTCAGAGGTTTTTATTTTCCTACCATAAGAAGTAAAATCTTTACATGTTATAAAATAAACTCGCCGAACAGTCTGTACGTCTAGATCTTTCAAATTACGCGACAGATTTTAATGGGGTTCAACAATAGACAGAGTGATTCAGGCCATTATACAAAATGTATAATGGTCCATCATTATACATTTTGTATACATTTGTGAACGGAAGAAGGGGCAGAGGTAGGGAGTCTGCACGATGGACTGATTCCGTTCGAGATGCCGTCAAGCGAAATATACAGT